AAAATAAAAATAAAGAGATTTGAGAAGATAGGCATTTTTTTAAACAAAGCTTTTCTTGTGGAAAACCTGATGCGGCCCAGCCTCACCCAGACTCTGTCTCCAGCGGCCCCCAGGTAAATTGAGTTTGAGACCCCTGCACAAGAACATTATCTCATAAGAGAACATTCAGGTAAATGTATGTCCTATATGTCCAATCTGTAGTTAGGTAATGGGATTCCTGTTTTTCTGAGACAAGCCCTGATACTTTGGTGCCTGAGGCAGAAAATCCCAATGAATATTTCCCTCCATCTCCCCCTTCAATTTAAACATGTGCATTTCCTCTTCATTTCAATGAGACTAATTTAGAAAGAGCAAATCACAGATTGTGACTAATGGCACTCAGACTCCATCATGTGAGACAGGCAGCTCATTTACACCAGATAGAACCATCTCTGCCAGAAATTTCCAGAGGTAAAACATTTGTGCTTTAAGGCAGCTCCAACTAAATTGCTGCCATATACAGTGCACAAGTCATGGCATCCCATCAGCAGTTCTGCCTTTCCAGTGGCAAAGTTCCTGTTCATCTTCCCTATGCTGAGGCGGGGGAAAGGATACAATTTTTTTTCAACAGGAAAGGGTGTCAACCTGCTGGTTGTGCCACTAGCCATTCTTTTTGTTAGGCTCCTTGAGGCCCAGTAGCCAAAACTCTGCTCATGACCCGGATTCAATCTCAGGTAGCTGGCTCAAGGTTCACTCAGCCTTCCATCCTTCTGAGGTCAGTAAATGGAGCACCCAGCTGGGGAGGGGGTGGCTCAGGGGCACAATGTGTAGCCTGCATAATTAAAATTGTAAACCGCTCAGAGAGTGCTTTAATCATTATGGGGAGGTATATAAACAGCAAACTTTGCTTCTTATTCGTTCGCTTTGCAAGTCAAGTCTACAGTATTGTTATAACTACTTGATACTTCAAATCTGAATTTTTGAGTCATACAACAGAGGTAGCAATACAATCCTCTGCATATTAACAGCAACCAAACTCTTCAGCTTTATCTGAAACCTTTTGGTCACATCATTTGAATTAGCAGGAACTAGTAATTCCAAATCTGCCAGAAATGCATGAGGATATATCTTGGCTATTGGGCAAACCAGAGCATATCTAGCACCGATGCAGCAGATATTTTCATTTGATCAGATGAAAGAAAGAGTCATATTCTTGCCCCGACTGAATTGCTTTTTAAGGATTGTTTAAACCAGATACTGTCACCTCTCCATAGTAGTTTGTATCCATCTTCTGGGTAGATAAAGGTGAATGTGTGCAATTCACATTCATTTCTATGGCAACAGACTGATACAAATAGAATTATGACTTCTCTAAAGGACCAAGCAGCAGCTGCTCAGAAAAGGAAAATATCTTGGGGTCATTCCAGGCAATAAAAAGCCAGTTCTTTTCTTGGTCCTTTATTCATCCTGGAGGCACTGCAGCATCAGTATCACTATTCTTGTCTATATATCATGGGTAGGTAGGCTTTCAGAAATCACTATATTCTTTTTTGCTACTTTTTATTAAAAAATAATAGGAAGAGGTACGCACTCCACTGTTGGCAAGGAAAAGCATGTAGCTTTTGAAGATTTAAAATCAATATGAGAATTTAAAATGAAGGATTATCATACAAATGCTACAAGTTTTTATTGTTGTTATGAGCTGTCTAATTGCTTCCAACATATTATGACCCTATAAATTCTGGCCCGCAAAATGTTCTGTAATTAACAGCCCTGCTCAGGTGCTGCAGACTACAGGAAATTTCTTCCTTTTTTTTTTTTTTTTTTTTTTTGAGTCAACCCATCTCATATTTGGTTTCGTCTTTTCCTGCTGCTTTCCAGTTTTGTCAAAATTATTGTCTTCTTGTTTCTATAGACAGTTTAGTCTTGATTTGATCTAGAACCTGCTTACAGTATTGGTTTTTCTGGTGATCCATGATATCCATATTCTGAGCCTCAACAAGGTCCATGATCAAGGAAAAACACCTGTGCTTGATGGCAATCATGCAACACTTAATGGACATGGAACCCACCTTAAGGGACCACTGGTTCTTTCTGGTCTAGTCTACATCTTTCTTAGTGTCAAAGAAAAGTAATGAACATGCAGGCTATGTTAGGCCTGAAGTTTCTGGAAGTGCTTTCAGGATAGAAATGCTCAGATTGTGTTTTCATTGCAAATCAGGAGTTCTTAGCATCATTATACCTCTGCCTAACCCACATGACCATCCCTCAAAAAATACCTAACCCTTGCCTGTGAAATCAAGCATTTGCATTCCAGCACACAATTTTCCATTGGCCTTTCCAATGTTCACAAGGGTCCGGGTGATCTCAGTGGCTCAATTTGACCTGCAGTGGATATTTATTTATCCATGTCTGTATGATTTTGTAGTAAAGTCAAGCTCTTAACACAAGGGACCTTGGAATGTGCACTAAACTATATGGTATTTTGATTAATTAGAGAAGTTCTGACTCCACCGAACAAAAACTCTGAGAGCACCTAGACATGAGAGACTCCTACTATCTGGCCAGACAGGGGAGAAGAGTGGTAAAAGGAAAAAACTGAGTGACGTAAAGGAAGAAAACAGTGAAAATAAAAAGAGGAGAGAGGGAAAGAGAAGAAACATCAGGTTCAGGGGGGAGAAAGATGACCTGCGTAGATGGGGGGGGGGAGAAAACTGAGTGACGTAAAGGAAGAAAACAGTGAAAATAAAAAGAGTAGCTAATAGCTTCTAAACTTTACCATGTTGAATACTTCTGCTACTGATAACTGTTACTTCTGCTGTCACTCCTTTTACTACCACTACAACCATGTCTACTGCAGCATCTATGTAGTCTGATATTTCCTTCCTTTTTATGCAAAGGTAAACATAATTGCAATCGGCAGCAGCTTGGTCAGCATATTGATAGTCAAAGACACACTGTGCTGATCTTGGTTTATACTCCGTCTTCTGGCTCAAACAGGTCCTCAGGGTATTTTACTATCATGTAGCATAAAGCAAATTAAAATCAAAATCAGCCAAATGCAACTGTAGCCAAAGTGGGTTTCTTTATCTTTCTATACTGATTTTTGTTGAAAGCAAAAATCTCATCACGGTGAATTCGAAGCAAAACAAACAATGGGAAACAAAAGCCTTGGAATGTGTCAAAAACAGAAGAAATATATGATGTTTTAGAACCCTGGTGGTCTGTTCTCCTCAAAGATGAAAATCCTGGCTGCAATCAGCTATAACTTGCCATTCCCCTAGTCAGCAGTTCACCAAACAAATTCTTAATACAGGAAAGCACAAAATTCGACAAATGTCCACAAAATAAATCAAAATGTCCACAATTGTGCAGGTTGCATATTCTGATATATAAAGTACTTTTTGTACCAGTATTTGCACCCAAACCTCTAGTTACAATTTGGTTTTAAAAATCCATCTGTATTTGTAAGATACAGGGCATTTAGGGAGTGTTTTACTTTTAGCTCTCTGGGAAAGACTGTAAAGCATCAGCAATTTATAGGCATCTAATTGTGGAGGGTTTCGTCTACATGAAATGATGTTCTATTTCTCATAGGACTGTTCAAATAATGCATGTGCTGTATGGAAAGAGAATTACTATTCTTTAATTTTCCTATCATGTTTTCTACTTCTTGTTTTTAACCACCAACATGTGGGGGGGGTGGAGTGAGATACGTTGTGAAAGCAATTTACCACCTACATCTCACTCAGTAATGGCGCTAATGTTCATTAGTTCAATTTCCAGATGATAGGCTCTGAAAGTATAGTTCATGTTAACTCGCACAACTTGTGTTTTTTGCCCATTAATAACTCTGTGTAAGTAATGTGTACAAGGCTGTCATTAGAGCAGCAGGTGCGCTATTCCCGTATTTACATAATTTTGTGTTCTTTCCCTTTAGATTAAAATATGTAAAGATCTCATTACAGTAATTGAGAAAGGTAAGAGGTTGCTCACATGGCGTCATGCTCAATTTACTAACCAGATTCCTTCTGTTGCTTGCATAAAGCTGACACAGCCCTCATTTAATCTGGTTTGGTCTCTTCCGTTTCCACTGGGTGCTGCACTAGAAGCAAATACCCCTTGCTACGTCCACCCCCACTAAGCGGTAGTGCTAAGAATCCCAGTTGTTGGCTGCCTTTGCCCTTGCATGTCTAAGCTTCATTGGAAAGCACCCACTCACCCCCACCTTGCTTCTGCTCTTGTTTGCTTCAGGCGGAATCTGACACCAACACCTGCCATGGGGGGAAATGTCTTTGTTGCTTTGCACTTTTGTTTGAATTGCTGCAGGGGAGCCAATGGGAGTTAAGTCCATTTACTTTTTTTGTTGCCTAAGCACCATGGAATAGGATCTTGAGATGGTGCCGATAAGGAGCGGCACGTGCTGTGCTGGCCCTTTGAGTTAGCTCGGCTTAATAAGGGGCTCTTTTTCTGGGAAGGGCAGATTGCTGAGCTTGGGCCTATGAATGGAACAGCTGGGGGAGGAAAAAAGAAACAAAGGAGGGAAAACACAGGCTGCCCTGAACCTGGCAATTGGGGGTGCAGTTTCAGCGCTGGAGAGCAGGCTGGCCACACGCCAGGTGTGACCTTTGCAGTCTGCTTGGTTCTGCTTGTTTGGGTAATTTCCAGTGCAATGCTGAAAAGGAAGGAAGCTGCTGGGCAGAGAAGTATTGCTGCCTGGATGGGCCCATTGGCGGCTAGGTTACTGCAGCGCCGAATTAACTCTTAGGGAGCCGGCTCACCGATAAATGGGAATGGAAAGAGTTTCAAGAGTAACCGATGAGGCAGGCGGCTCATCAGGCTGATGGATGATTCTTTTCCGCACCCATGCGTCAGTTGTAAAGTGCCCCTGTCTCGTTAGTTGTGTTTCAGGGTTGCATTGTCTTTTAGCAACCTTTTACAGTTAACTGAGATCCCCAAGAACATTTTGGAATCAAGGGATGCATAGTATGTTCATAAATAATACCATTTTCACTCCCACAAATTCTGATCTTATAACTTGGAATTATATCAGGCAAAATCCAAATAAACAAAGCAAAACAAAAACATGTGGCACGTTAAAGACTACCATATTTTGTGACATGTCCTGAAAGCTTGTTTTTTTGTATTTGTCTTGTTTTTGCCTGATATGCTTGCAAAGACTAGCAGGACTACCTCTTTTAAAACTTGGAATTAGTTTTACTAAAGTGAGCAGAACTTTTTTATTAGTAATTGGTTTAGAGCTGAGGTGTATGTTTTATTTCTCTGAGATAATGAACTGTGTTATGGAACAGCTTCCTGCCAATATGTTCTTTTTAGGCATTTCACATAGATTTAGATGCAGCTGATGGGTCCTCTCTGCTTCCTTCTAGATGCAGTCACAGTATAATCTTTGTATTTACACTCTTTATTTAATGAAAAGGTGTGGATACATTTCATTGTGATGCGAGGAAAATACAAATAACTCACATTTGTGCCAGATGGCCTGCAAGTTAAATTATTATAATATGTATATAAAAGACTTGTGCAGTTATTTGATAATTCTGCATCTGTTTTTCCTAGGTGACATTAGTTGAATTGTTAGCTAGGCAGAATAAAGTTTTGACCGATGATACGTTGTAGGAATTATTACAAAGGTCCAGTTGTATCTTTCCTTTCATGCATGTCCTTGCCTGTGTGTTGTGCAGTTTTTTGTATGCACGGGAGTCCTCTTGCTGAGTGTTTAAATGGTGGTTTCTTGAGCTTGCTTGTTTTTTTAAGAAAATGTTTTATTTGCAACAACCTGCAGAAACGTAAAACACTGTCTTCCATATTTTGACATAGGTGAAAAGATCTTGTCAATTTTATTAAGTGTAAACCTGTTTCACACACAAAAATAGTATTTGCATATGCCTTCTATATTTTGCTTGTTCTTAATTTATGTTCCTACTGCTGGTTAACAAATGTAAATACTGCTTTAAAAATTTAATCCCCATTCTTTCAGTAAGTTTCTAAAGAAATGAATGGAACACTTTTAATGAGGTATTAAAGTTACCTAAGCTACTTCAAAGTCATTGCTTTAAACCTTGTTTCTCAGAAGCAAAATGTCATGTCATTCAAATCCAATCATGCAAAATTTCTACTGATTTGTAATTCTTCCCTGCATAGACACATGATGAATAAATTATTGTGTGAGGACATAACTGAAGTAATTGATACATATAAGATAGTCTATATCAGTGATGGCGAACCTATGGCTCGCATGCCACACAGAGCCCTCTCTGCGGGCACGTGAGCCATAAGTCGCTGGATCGCTATCCCTGGCAGCCAAACCTAGTGCTAGTGCCCCAACAGGAGGCACACCAGGATCCGAAGCACCTGGCAGTGATTGGGCATGACTGGAGGCGAATTTGGAGCGGGGTCTGGAGGCACCTCTGTGCCCGGAATTCCCACTTCCGCTGCCACTTCTGCTTCCGCTGCCGCCGCCACCCACCACCCGCTGGGTTAGTTGTGGTGTTTTCTTTGCAGTTTGGGCACTCGGGCTCAAAAAGGTTCGCCATCACTGGTCTATATCATATGTCAGGTACAAACATGCTAATTGGTACAAAATACACTAAGAAGGATTTTGTGAGATACATTTGATATACCACCAGACAAGCCACTCACATGAACATTGAGATAAGATGCCCTAGTTGGTGCTTTTTTACACTGTTAACTGTAAAAGTAATTCTTCTTTGTGGCCTCTATGAATCAGACCTTGGGTAATTGTGCATGTGCGGAGCCTCATCGGAAATTGTAGAGCTTCTGTGATAGCAAAAAGATACATTAGTGCAGACCCCTCCCCCTTGGTATATGTACCTTGGCACCAAGGCTCTCCCTTTCTTTCAACCACCGCATTGAGAGCCTCAATCGTTCCTTCTACGAGAAACTGAAAGTGTAAGAAAAGTAAAGTTATTCAATTCTTTTCATTCAATCCCTAATTTAAACAATTATTATTTAATGATATATTTGCAGAACTAGAAGAAATACACTCTGCCTGTAAGGCTGAAGCGATTCCTTCCTCCCCATACTCCTTAGACCAATCTTCGGTTGATGGCCTCTTCTGGTCCTTTTAAACGCTGTGTGTCCTGCAACAATAAGATTACACTCTCTGACGGTCATGCCAAATGCCTTTTTTTGCCTTGGTGAGACTCATCAAACTAGCTGACAGTCTTTCCTGACAGCCCACAACAATCTTCAGGTTCGTTGAGCGTGTCCTCATCAGTTGCCCTACCAGACACTGAAGCTCAACCAGACACTGTGCCTTACTCTGCCCCTGTAGGCCTACCACCTTGGCCTCCGGCACCTCAGCAAAGGCATCAAGCCTCTAAGAGTGTCCAGAAATGGAGTACGCTCAGCACTATCATCAGGATGTGCCTTGCCCTGATCGGTGCACAAAGAAAAAGCCTGCTAAACATCATCAACCAGCCATTCTTCCTGGTCTTGAAGTGCGGCTAGAACATGCTGCCCCTCCTATGGAGGCTTTGGGGTCAAAGCGATCCTATTGTCATCGCTCTGAGATACTCAGCACCATGTATCCACCAGCACCAAAAAGGTCCAAGCAAGCCGACCAATATTCCTTGGTTCCTAGCATGTTTTCAGCATGTGCAACTTGCTGCTTCCCGGCTCATCAAGAAGACTGTGAGCATTCATCCCACTCTGCATTCCCAGCATCTGTCTATTCCACTATGATACAGTGTGGTCCATCTACGTCTTTTCTATGTCAACCGCAATCTCGATATCAACAACAAACTCCATTCCAACACAAACTCAACACTGATTCCTTTGATGTCAACAATCCTTGACATCTAACTGTGTCCATGGATGCACCCATGGTCTCCACAACAGCTGAAGACCCTCAATATCACCCCTTGTCCACGGGTGTACCTTCAATGTCGATACCAGTTGAAGACCCTCGATATCAACAGCTATCCACGGACGCACCTTTGACATTGGCATCTCAAAGTTGATACCGATACTTCAAGGATCAGCCTCTCGATGTCGATGTCGATGAACAGTCAGTAGATTCATGGCACAAGTGCGAACAGTCTGAACTTGGCTCTAGACCACAAACGCCATCAGTATTACTAACTTTTCCAGACTCAGATCTGGCAGATACAGATCCTCCATCTCCAGCTGAGGATTTTAAACGTACGCCCAGCTTATGGTCCATATGGCTAAATTCCTCAACCTCCAAATGTATAGACCCACGACTGAACCAGTGGATTATCTCTATGACCCCATCTCTAAGAACACTACAACACTGGTCCATATTTCCATGCTTCTCAGCATAGTACAGATATTTCCATGCTACCATCCCTTCTCAGCATAGTACACCACTCCTGGACCATGCCAGCATCCTCTCACTTGGTGTTCAAACGCATTGGCAACCTCTTTCAGGTGCAGGACCCAGGTGCTGTTTTCTTACAAAAACAGCCAGCACCTAACTATATTTGTCGAAGTGTCACAATCTTGCTCTCAACACAGGCGAATCCTGATACCACCCAATAAGGATAGCAGGCATATGGAATCTATGGGTAGATGGTTGTATACTCCTCTGCTGCCTTTACCACGAGGATTGCCAATTATCAACGAGCTATGGGTGCCTATCGACACTTTCTCTTTTTCTCTTTTTTTCAAATTGTATCAGATAAACTACAACATAAACATAAAATACATAAACCAAAATACAAATCAATTGTGTTCCCCTCCGCCCTAATTGGGACCTCATGCAGTAATCTTCTTCATCCATTATCTTTATTCTTCTTCTCTGTTTATTGTCCTCTTCTCCAGAAATGGATTGATTCCTGATTTGGAACTTTCCCTTTTCCTCTTGTTAGCACAAATTCAAGAAATCTGCCCCATGTCTCATAAAAATTATTATTTTTCATCTCTCCTTTCTTAAACATTAAATTACAAACAATGTTCCATATTTAATTATACC